TAAATAAAATGACCTTTAAATTTGAATAAAAGTTTTCTTCAGAGATTTCTGCAGGTATAATCTGCTGAATTGCTCATTTAAAGTGGCTCAGTGAGTAATACACTGATGTGATGGCAGATTTGGAAAGAAGTCATGGAGAAACAAAGACTGGTGGTGAGTGAGCTATATTGGAGGAGAATGCATGGGAGCTGCTGCTGCTCAGGAGACAAAGCTTGACCTGCCCTTCCTTTGATGTCCAGACACTGCAGGACTTGAGACCAGGAAGCCAGATCTTCCAGCTCCCTGTTCCCCTGTTTTTTCTGCCCTTTTAACCAGCTTCTGAGGAGGAATGAATAAGGGAAGAGGAGTATCATTGATAGAGAGTGATTCCCCAAAGGGGCTAAGCACTGCAGGCTCTAAGGAAGCTGGTGAAGCATCTTGGAAGTGCTCTGGAGAAAAAAGATGCCTCGGGGGAGAACATTTGTGGGACATCAAAGGTGATTTGTATGGCTGAAGATGGATCTCAAATCTGATCCTCAGCTTTGCTGTTGTCTGATCGGTCTGTCACCCTTTATGGCCCCAGGGCATCAAGCAAGTAGGGTAGGTCCAAAGCAGGAGTTGCTGCATTTGAATTATTTTTTCTTCTTCAAAGAGCTAAGTGGAAGATGAAGCTAAAGGAGAGATGAAGGGACTCCTAGATGCTGGCAAGGAACATGCTAAAGAAGCAGTCTGAAATTTGTAGCTAGCTCAACAGAAATTCTGCTGGTAGTGGAGATGAGAGAAACAGACCAAATTTTCCTTTCAAATATGTAACAGTGGGTATAAATGAAGTCTCTTCCATGTTACTTCTCTTCTCAGCTTCTGCTGATGCCTGCTGACAGCAGATGCCACAGTTAGAAGGACACAGTCCAGGAAGGAGAACTGGTGCATCTGCCACCTCCTGGTTTGTGTCTTTTGTTCAAGGTGCAGCCATCCCTCCTCTTTGTATTTAGTGGCCTCTAACAGAGCACTGCCTCTCTACTCTGCAGGCAGGAGACAAAAGCAGCTCTGAAATAAATGCCTTCTCCTCAGAGAAAGGCTACTTGGGAGTGCTGCTCTCATCCTGAAGAGAATGGAAAATCCTTGAACTGGGAGAAGTTGCACTGACCATGTCAGAGACAGCCTGGAGTTGCTGCTGAATCTTGCTTTTGTATCTTCATTTCCGCTCTTACAGGTTTGAAAAGTGACATCACCTTACATTCTTCACCCATTATTTAGTACTTTACAAGATTAGATAGAATCTCTTTGGGTACTTAAACATGGACAAGGCACAGGAAACTGTATAGCTTTCTAACCTGCTGGGATCTGAAAGTAAATAAGATCTGCTTTTTAATCACAGGGTCATCTTTAAAACACAGTATAAAGGGCAATTCTCTCCTCTTTCCAAAGGAATTAATTTTGTGGTGTAAGAAATTGAGAAGGAAGCAGGAAGGGACTGGTGATATTGTGTGGGCCAGAAGCCTCATGCTCCAAGCAGCTCCCTTGTGTAGTTAATACAGTTTGATTAAAATCAGTTTGGTTTTTTGTTACACTAGTTATCATAGAGTATTGCTCCCAGCTCTAAGAACCCATCCTTCTGGGTGCAGGAGGAGCTCCAGGAGCATTTCTCTGTCCTGTGAGCTGAGCGGTCAGTTATTCCCAAGGGAGGTGGGCCAAGGCAGCAGTCACAGAGTAACTGCAGGATGGATTTCAGCATGGGCAGGATGGTGTAAGAATGCCACAGGCCCATTGCCCTGGTACAATCCCTGAAATGTCATGGGAGTGTGCTAGAAAGGACCCAATGTGCAGGAAGATTAGTCTGGTCTAATTGGTCTCCAAAGTGAAATACAAGGAAGGAAGTGAAGGTGCCTTCCTTGGGGCTTTGGATCCCTAAGAGAGAAGAAAAGTCTCTGCAGAGGGTGGAACCAAGCCACCTCTGTGTGTTGTTCCTGAGATTTTCCTCCATGGTGATGCTGAGGCTCTTGCAGGCTGCATCTCACACACATCTGCTGTTTCCCATCTAAATATCATGCTGCATGGGTGAATAACAAGCAGAGACACCTGTGCCTGCACTTGATCATTTTCCTAATTATATGACATTTTTTCGTGGGTCAAAACATACTAAAACAACCACTTAGTGGAAAGCAGGTTAGAGATGTGTGACTCACTAATAAAATTGGTGTGCACTCAGTGCCTGTCAGGAGAGCCCAAAGCACCTACTGGATTTTGAGCCTGATTTTCTTTTCCCTTTCACCAATACAATTCAGGAATGATCCTTATCAGTCATTGCTCATGTGTAGGCAGACACATGAAGGCTAAGAGAAGAAGGAAAGTCCTTAAAGATGGATGGAGAGATTAATTATATGTAAAATGCCCTAGACAACTTGGGTCACCTTATTTGCTGTTGTACAGTGCCGCAGGCTGCAAAAAACATGGAATAATGAGTGTACATCCTAAGACTTCCTAGGACATTGCTGCCCAGTACTTGAATCTGTCTACATGAGATGGAAAAGAGTTTACCAGTTTGGTGATAGGATGAGGGACACAACACAAGGAAACAGCAAAGCAGTTCGAAAGCAAACTACCTTAAAAAAAAAAAATCTGCATTATTTAGAGGGATGAGGTATTGGGCCTTTCTCTCTGAAGTTCTTGAAAGCTGCAAAATGCAACCAAATGTGCAGGACTGGGAGAGATAAAACACCACAAGTGTGTGTGAGAGAACAGTTTCCTGAGGTACCTTTGGTCTTGCCCACACACAATGAATTGCTGTCCTTTCCAAGAGAGGCAGTGGGGGAGAGAGTGCAAACAAGGAGGGAGGAACACAGATCTTGCAGAAGGGATTTATTATCCACTTTGGAGGTGGGGACACACACAATTGTGGGAAGCTTTCATTATGTGCTTTTGTCATGATTTCCACACGTGCTTCCAACCATGTTGCTGAGCATCCTGTTGTGCCAAGGTGTTTGCATTGCCTTAAAGCCCTTTATGAATCATGTCTGTGCTGTGCAGGTTTTGTGTTTTGAAGAGCCAAGAGATATAATGAGACCTTTTCCTGTCTCTGGCATACTGCAATTATTTATTGGAAGAGAAGCAGTCAGGTATGAAATGAATGAATTTCATAAGCAACTTTTTTTAAACATGTTCTTTCAGTTCTTTTTCCCTTGAGACTTCCCACCATCCTGCGCCTGCTTTCCCCACTTGATCCGTTGTGAGAGAATTGATTTCCAAAGAAAAAAATCCCATTTTGAAAGACTTTTCTGAAATCATAACTGACTGCAGGGAGACAATTTAATAGGGGGAGATGAAACTGGGACACTGGAGATAAGAAGTTAATAGGGGATTTAGTCATATACACAAAACAGCACCAGACAGGTGGATGTAAAACAGCTCTTTGATGTCCTGCAGAGTTTGCTGTGGTGAACAACATGTTCTCTGAATGTCAGCAAGGATACCTCTGTGACCATCCCAAATGTAACTGGCCACTCTTGCAGGTTATAAGATCTAGATGGCTGGAGCTGGAGAGAAATTATGCTTGTATATTCCTGCCACTCAACTGTAGAGAACCCCACTATGTTGAAGCCCACAAGATCAGCATCAGAGGAAGATAAAAGGTATAAAACACGTAATTATTTCACAGCAGAATTCTAGAATTGTTACCCTGCTTTTTAAAGTACTGCTGGAAATAAACTTTTAGATGAGGTTTTTTTGAGGGCACCATCAGTTTTATTGCAAGGGTCTGCAAGCACAACATGAGTGTTCATACTTAAAGCATGGTGTTGAATATTTTAAACAGCAGCATTAAGGACACAAAATATCTGCAGAATTAAAAAGTGAGATGGAGCACCTCTTAGTCCCTTGTGTTTGCAGAGAAAAAATTTAGCATTTCCCTAGTCTGCAGAGATTTAGTATGGTTTCTTCTCCTGGATGGAAATGGCAGGAACTATTCCAGGGTATCCCAGAACTGCCATGGTCCCAGATAATTGCTCCAGGAGTTCAACATCATTAAAACACAGCAGCACACTCTTTGTGTCCCACTCTTTGTTTCCGCTCAGTCCAAATCCAGGACTGCAGGATAAAAAATAAAAAAATAGAGCAAGTGTGGAGGGAGCCCTTCAAATCTGTAAATTAGTAGGAATTACTGCTGGACAGTAGATGACTTTAATGTCTGAATTCACCCAGTGGTTTAGGTCTAACTCCCATCAATTTAAAAATACTTGACAGCCTACCATTTTATTTATTTTTTTGGGTTTGGTCTTTTTTTTTTTCTTTTTTTTTTTTTCCATGAATTTCTCAGCTGTGTAAGGAAGGAGTAATAGCTTTCCTTTACATTACGGGATGATGTGAGGTTAAAGATCAAAAGCTGTCAGGCTTGGTTGGGGCACTGGAAAGGACAGTGCAAGCTCACTGCACATCAACGAGTGTGGGAGCTATCAAGCTGGTTTTAGGGCAGAACTGTAAGGATCTAATCTGTGCAAGATGAGGAAAATAATTTGGATCAAGTTACTATTCATTTACTGTTCACAGCCCAGCCCAAATATTAAAGTGTGCACTCAAATGTGAGGAAGATTCTGTTATTTTTTTTTTTTTTTACCTTAGAGGTTAATATTTCTCCTATGGTTTCTCCTCACAGAACTGACCTTACTGTCTCAGTGCCATAACATGCCAGTTTACAGGTAACCTCAAAATGTAAAACTCATGAACATATACATTGCAGCTGCTTTTCACCTCTGACAGCCAAATCAAGCACAAAATCAGTGTAGACTTGCCCCATATGTGCCACTGAAGTCCTTCTACAGGTGTCATCACCAATCTAATTAGAAAAACCTTCCAATCTTCCTTTGCCTCCTTCATGGCCATATGGAGAAGGCACCAGCAGAAGCCTTCAGCTGTTACAAGCATTGCTTTGGCAGCTCCAGCTGTTTTCAATACCATTGATTAGCACTTCCCTCCTGCTGAGGCCAGGCATGCACCCATTTCTTCACACACAGAGCACCCAGGGCTCTGTAACAGCTCTCAGAGAACCTCTGTGAGCACAATGAATGTGGGGGAGACTGTGATGGAATTTTCCTACCTTGCAATATACTTTTGTAGGTATGTTCTTTCTCTTTTTCTCAGAAAGTAGAGGTTGGTGGGGGTTTTTTGAATGCTTTCACAGGTTCTGGGTGTTTCTGTTTTTTTTCAAAGCATGATACACTGGCTTCTGTTAAGGCTGTTTTATTGGCATCACTGGACCTTTGAATCAGGTATGACAAATCCCCCATGATGCTAAACCAAGTTGCACTGGGATAGGGAATAAGATTATATTTACTACTCTAGGCTTTGTGTCTCTTTCTCCACTAGCTTTATTTCATTTACCTCTGCACAGCTGCTCTTGATGCCTTCCCCTGTAGAAAGAGAATTACTCTCTCCCTTGAGCTTTGCAATGCCTAAGAGATTCAGAAGCTAACTGGAAATTTTCAATATCAATTACACCTTTACTGCTGAAATACAGCTGCCTGTGAATAGTCATGGGTTTTTTACTGCTAATAGGAAAAGAATCTCTCACAGTTGTTAATTAACACTGCTCCAGATTTATCATTATTTCAACAGGATAGCCTCAGGATGGATTTAACCCCTTGCTCTTCTGGAAGCAGTTTAAATGACTTAGTCTTATTCAAGAGCATAGGATGAATTGTTGACTGGGATGTTTCAAAGGATGGGACTGCTGGTGGAGGCTGCTGCCCTGATGCCACTGAAATCCAGTAGGATTTTGGTGTGGTTCATCCCAAGATTTTGGTCTAGCTCATCCCTGAGGTCAGACTCTGATTCTTGCAGTAATGGGCAGCAATTACCAGGCCCCCAGTAAGCTGCAGAGGTCTATCATCAGAGAGTTCTGATTGCCCTGAGCAAGAATGAATTGCATTTCTTGACCCATTAGTGATCTCTAATTTTATGCGAAATATTGCTGCCTAATTCACTTATTGAAGTTAATATTGAAAAGCTTTGCTTATGTTGAATGCTCTTCCTTTTATCATTTGCAATTAACAGTGGTGCAGTAGGGAGAAATGAAAGATCAATGAAGCCTCTCTTATCTTTTAGTATCCACCTTGTGAGGTGAATTTCTATTCTCTTAGGAGGCCACAGTGTTGGGTTCATTCTGAAGATGGATGTTTTTGAGACTGCTTGGCAACTTTCCACCACTTGTATGTCAGACTTGATCACTAATTCCTGCCTCTGTCAAAGGTTAATAGAGGACTGTTATGTGTGTAATCATGTCTCACTGAGGAAAGGGGTCAAATAGGTTTATAGGGATGAATCTCCATTGATTGCCAGGAGTATTTAAAATAATTGGACTCAAGCAATCAGATTAGCCAGTTATGGTTGTGAGATGGGTCTATATGGGGTAATGTACATGCTTGGTATAGATTGCAACTGATCCAGCTTAATTTGTCTTAACGTGCTGAATTTTGACTCATTTTCTTATTAAAGCTTAGACTAATTAGAGTAAGTTTTAGGTATCAGTATACAAAATCAACTAGAAATTAATAAAATAGTATTTCTCTCTGGAGAATACGTAGGGAAGTGGCCCTTCACTTATAAATGAGGGAATAAACTGGGTGTTACAAGCATTAATGAAGTCAGCCCAGGATAAAAAGAGTGCAGGTGTCTCTCAGAGATACCCACAGAACGTGCCTCATTCTCCTGTCCTTGCAAGTATTTTCCAGAGGGTGAAAGAAAACCCAAAAGAGCCAAAACCAAAAACAAACCACAGGAATTATGAACCTAAGTCAGAGGAACAAAGTGCAAAAATAGCTTTACCACTTGGAGAGCGGAGACTAGCAGTCGTATCCACCAGAGGCACCTTTTAAAAACCTGCCTCCCCCTTAAGGATTCCCACGTGTTTCTGTGGTCTTTTAGGAATTCTACAAGTGCAGACAGGAGGTAGGAAGACCCAAAGCTTAGGGGTTCTACTAGCCAGGGGGCTGTTTTTACACTGTAGGAAGGAAACATCAAATACATGATTCCAAAATTTTCATGTCGAAGACCAATAATTCAGACAACCTAAAATGTGTTATTTTTGAAATCATGCCCTGTTTTCCTGATTCCAGGAGGACCAGCTTGCTGTTTTAAACATGAGCTATTCATGACTTCAAATTTCAATATAGAACTGTGCTGTTGCTGCTGGGAGACATTCCGGGTTACAGTGCTGAGGAAGCAAGCAAAACCCTCTTACTCTGCCTTCACAAACAACACAGAAATTAATCTTTCTAAGGCTTTCAGGCAAACAGTTGAGTTGTTAACAAATCTCTCTTTCTTTTTAAATTGTCCTTAGGGATGTCAAGTTCCCCCTACTTTATAGGTTACACAGGGAAGCATTTACATTTGTGCACTTCTGATAAGCTATAGCCGCTGCTGTGTAGTACAAAATGAATGCACACCTGTGCCATAACCCAAGGCATCACAAAGTGGAAAATCTTCTCAGTTAGTTAAGCTAAGGAAAAGATAAGGCAAACTTTGAGGCATTTGGAAAAATTTTTAAGCCAAATCAAAAGTCCTGTGACTTTTGTCCTGTCTTGAAAAGTGGAAGAACTGTCATAAAGGGTGAGACAATAGGTCCACCTGACTCACTATCCCAGCTGAAAAGGAAATGGGAGAAGATGAAGAACCAGACTTGAATAAAGTGGTCTCTTCCCAGCTAGTACTGTAAGAGTTAAGACCAAAAGCCAGAAGTTCTCCAGTTAAATACCCATAATTTGATGGTAGCCAGTGCTATATAAAAAAGCTGGGTTGTTGTCATGATTTTATCAAGGCTTTACTTTCATTACTGAGTGAAGTTTACTTTAAAAAAAAAAAAAAAAACCAGAAAAGATAGGAAAAGCTCACAAACCTGGCTGAGAGCCAGGCTCCAAGTTCATTGCTATCAAAATAAAGACACTGTGAAGCAAAGTGGACTTTTGAGTCAGGAAAGGGGAAGAACAAGCTTACTGTTGTATTATTAAATTGGCATTACCATAATCAGTCCCACTAGTATAATTTGGAGGTGAAGAGTTCACTTTTTTCCTGCCATCCCAGCACTTCTTTTCGTAGTGCAGACCAACAGAGTTAATTGTAGCATGCCATCCTTTCAAATGCATGGCTCATCAAAGGCAACTGTGGCAACCACAGGCTGCCAGCACCGGGGGGATATTCTCTGTCAGGCACTGAAAAGGTTAAGGCTGTTGACACTTAAACATTATTAATTAGGTTCTGAAAACCTTGTAGGTCATTATGCTGGAAAGCATGGGTGGAAAGTTTCTGTATCTATTATCATGGTTATTTCAAGATTCAGAAAGTTATTTTCACAGGCAGAAACACTTTCTTTAAGTGAAAGTTTTCATGCTGCAATAACTGGGATATCTGTGAAAAGATCTCAACAATGTCCAGAATTTCTACAAGCACAGCCCCAAATATCATCAGCCCCATGCTTGCCCATAGAAATAATTGTAGAAGCTACAGTGGAATAGGGAAAATTACACTTTTAAAAGTTTGATTCTTTCTTCTTTCTGTGCCTTGAAAAATGTTTTACCAACATTTGCAGGCTACCCTCTTCACATAGTAAAGTTTTAAGTGCTGTTTATACATGTGGGTGAATAAATTAAGGGGGATGGAGGGATCTTCCCATCCGCTGGCAGATCCTCTTTATTCCTTTTCAACCTTGCTGGCCATAGGTTGCTGGGAAGAGCTGAAAATCTTCACTGGTAATTTTTCAGTGAAAGCAGTTGTCTTGCACAAGATCTCAAGTTTTTTGTCTGGGAAACAATTGAGGTCATACCTGCAGGGGCAATTAGGAATTGATTTTCAAATCACCCACAGGCAGGGACTTGCCAGCCCTCGTTAGCATGGCTTTTTGCTGCTCTGGGTTTCAGGGTGGCTGGTTTGCCCCCATGCTCTGTCATCATCCTTGTGCTGTCTTTGGAGCTAATGAGGGAGACAGGCTGTAGAGTTACAGGGCTCAGGGTCACCAAGTCAGACACAGGCACCTTGCAGTGCCCTTTCCAGGACATAAAGGCAGCCCTGGGGCAGGAGATGAGCTGTGCACAAACTGGTTCCTGGAGGACCGTCACTGAAGAGCCTGGGATGTGACCTGGAGCTGTGCTGAAGGGGACACCTGGCTGCGAGGCCAGGTGAGCTGAAGCTTAGCTGCAATGCTGTGGTTCTCTCTGTGTGTGCAGAGCTGCCTCTGGCAAGCACCTGTAGGGTTGGCAAGGCAGTGGTTTTTTGATTAAGCAAGACCCCTCTACTCCTTTCACAGAGCAGCTCATCAGGGAAGCATAGGGCTAAGTGGCCATTGAACTGTGTAGGACCATGACACATTTTCCTATGATTTGTGTTAAGAGAGGAATGATTTAAAATCATGCCATGGCCACTTGTCTTATTCCTTCAGGGCTGGTCAAAGGTATATTCTCCAGAAGCCAATTTTCCCAGGAAAAGCTACTTTTGCCTCAGGACAATCTCAGCTGAAGTTACTGTGTCACACATTTGAGGGAATTTTAAGTGAAAGTGTATGGAAAGCAGGGGTAGAGGGGCAACTTCATGAATTTTTAAGGAAAAAAAGAAAAATACCTCTCTTCTTTTTCTCTCTGAAAAAAAGAAGGTTTAAAAAAGGAGAAATTTGAAATTTATTCTGAAACTTATCCCATCAAAAGGCCTTGGTTCCTCTGAAACACCCACAGTGTTTAATATGGGTGTGTGTTACCCCTCATCCCTAGTGCTGATGCTTGTAGCACCCATTGTAGGGCAGGACCTCTGTCTGCCCAGTGCTGCTCAAAAGCAGAATAAAAGGATAGTCTCTGCTGTAAGGAGTTTAAATCCCACACTCTTATTCTTAATCTTTCTTGGTATTTTGAGTCCTGCAACAGATTTTGTGACACGGGTGCTGTCAGCTTGCTGCTGTTGAGAGTCTCTGCAGCAGGCAGACTTTCCTTCACAATGCTGTATTAATTGCTATTATGTTTTGCTTTCTGGTTGTGGCATGTCAGTAATCTGCTACTTACAAATGTCTGCTCCCTAGGGAGAAAATAAATCACATGTATTTTTTGGAACCAATCCTGCTTCAATACTTAGGAAATGCG